TCTCGGCACCGTGGAATATCAAGTGGCCCGTAACAAGTCGGAGCGCCTGTTATGGCCGAGAAGCGTGGGAGAGTCGGTATCGTTAATCTTAATAGAGATATTGAGCTTCTGTCCCTCTTTTTAAGGTACTGTAGGAAAGAGAGGTGCTGTGATAGATTATTGTAATCTCTATACTAAACGCGCAATCTACAAATGGACGCAATTATGCAAAACTATCCAACCCGGACGCAAAATTCACACAGTATATACTACCACAAAACACCGGCGTTAACTTTTTCTTATACATACGATATCAAATGTTTAATTACCTAAGTTTTAGTTTTCAGATAGTTTGTTATCATGTACATGTACTTGATAATAAGAAAATGAAAATTTGAAAATGAATAAATTTCGAGAGATCGAGCGTTACAAATACATGAAATATAACTTAAATTAAAAAATAAGCAAGGAATATCATGTTGCTGCAATGCTGCCGGTGTTTCATTGAGATGGTTAGTGTTGCTTTAGGTTTGCATACTTTGGTGTTATCATGCAATTACGTACCTTACGTTACACTACTGTGTAATTGTAATGGGTGTCCCCGTTACATGTCCCCTTCGGTATGGTCGAACTGTAATAGATCTAAACTAATATTCCTGATAACTATTCCTATTATCTTACGATTGTGTCTGAAAATCGTACAGTAAGTGTTAATTGAGTAAACAAGAGAGCAAGTTGAACATCCGTTCACACACTTTTATTATTTTTAACAATCAACCTCCCTCTGTATTTCCCACAAACTTATTAATCTGTCGTTTGTTTACGTTGATAGCTTTCAATGTCAACTATAGATTTCCATCTACGTATCAAACAGTCGTAAAAAACAAAGACTATATAATCACTACGTTTTAGCACAGAGGTAAATTGCCACCAAAGAATTTAAAATTGTTGCCAACAAAAAATCACTACATTTAATACAGTACAATTAATACAGCTATAATTGAATGCTCAATCAGGCCTCTATCACTCTTGCTACCTATGTGAAATAATTACCTAAAATCGCGACGCGCCCGGGCGAAAGAACGTTGTCAGGGCTAGCGCGTTGGAGGCGATTGAACGTTAAAGTTTTTTAACGCTGTTTACGTATATAACTGTTTGTAAATATTGTTGAAATAATTTTGTTTAGTGTTTCGTATATTTAATTATAGGATAAAGTAGTTCAAAAGTTTTAATGTAATTTAAGAACTATATATTATGTATATTACCCATTATTTAATAAATTTTAATATGGCAAAACGTCGTTCCTGCTATAATTATTGCGTGGATAGACGCTAAATGACCAACAAAATATTTCAGATATATCATTCTTTATTACCGAACCGATAACCGATGGGGAAGAAAGATTTTCGAGTGGCAGCCTCGTACCGGTAGGCGTAGTGTAGGGCGACCACCCACTAGATGGAGTGACGACCTGGTAAGATATGCAGGAAGTCGATGGATGCAGGTGGCTCAGGACCGTGCTTTGTGGCATTACTTGGGGGAGGCCTATGTTCAGCAGTGGACTCGTGAAGGGCTGTGATGATGATGATGATGATGATTACCGAAGGATTTTAGTAGGAAGTTATGAAACGTGAATTTATTTAATTTTTATTGTTAGATAGGTACTCATAGCAAAAAAGAATTAAGTAATAATTTATTTAATATCTACGAACTTTATTACAAAATTTAGTAGAAATTTACTTTACCAAGTATCTACTTACGTATGTACATATACTTGCCTTTTGTATTAAAATATTTAAGCTAAAATAACACAAAACACTGAAATTAAAACTTTGTTTACTAACAAAATTTTAACTAAGTAGAATACGATTACTTTTCTGTAAGATTCGTATTTCAAGTTTATTTGTTCTTTACACTATCTACCTTTTCCTTCCGAGCCAAGCGTCGCGATTCCCGACGAATGGCCTTGCAAGTTGCATGCGTTAGGCATCGCAGAACTTACGTAGGTGCGAAAATATGGTCTGTCGATCATAGTCAGAATAGGTATTTCACCTAAGTAACCTAATTAATATTTTGCAATGTATTTTGTTACTCTTTATTGACATCCCTCCATAACAACGGAAAGTCCACCGTAACGTAGGAAGAGGAAAATGTGCAAAGCAATACGGACACACTCGCGCAGCGATAAAGTTTTATTTAGCTTGTGAGCGCGATTATCTAATTAATAATAATTATGTAGGCTATTAAAAGTCGGCAAGCAGTCAACATTAAAAGAGTGAAACTTCTGTACGTAGTACTAATATTTATTCTGTGGCTCAATGTAGAAACTTAAATATTCAATTTATTCCGGTCGAATTTTGACTCCTAGGCGACTACTAGTACTCATAAACAACTTATAAGTTTTTGTTCTACATGAGTAAATGCTTTTATCTCCACTCAAGTCTAGCAACAGTTTCCTTAATTTTAAACGGCCGTTTTCGCTCGCAGACAATAATCCATCCTCAAAGAGGAGTCAAGACATAGAAAGAAAAGATGAAAATATTTATTTGTACTGCACAAAGAAACAAACCTACGCTAAGCGCTTGCTAAATTCATTGTGCGCGAGCAGATGGAAATTTAAATAGTAATTTTAAATCAAGGCAAATATTGATAATTCCGATTATTAAGTGCTGATTTACTACTCGCTCACAAAACTAAAACATCGTGAGGAAATCTGCATGTCTGAAAAGTTAAATAAAAAATATTTTGAAGATATGTGATTTTCGCCAACACGCATTTCGGCAGCACGTCCGACATTTCCTCATCCTTAAACATTATCAGAAATAGGGTCCCAGCAGTAGGACAAGCATAGTAAAAAAGAAAAAGTTAAAACTGTACAGTATATTTAACAAAACTATTTACAATTACAGCTCATCAAAAGTCCACTGCTGAACATAGCCCCCCCCCACAGATTGCCTCATATGGAGGATATTTGCTACAGTTGCCACGTGCGGCAAGCGAGTTAGTAGCCGCAGTATTTTTAGTTTTATTCAGCTGATATCAGAAAGATGCTGCTGCCCATCTCCTGGTATAATTTCCCTCTGTCGCCTTAGACTAGTCAATTTACACTACCGCGGAACAGAATGGAAGCAAATTTTTGTAACGAAATTGAACATAGTAAAATGAGTCTTATGTTAATTGTGTAACGCGCAAACTAGATATGAGCCATTTCCACAGACTTCGCCGACAGTAGCTAAGGGAATCCACGGGAATTCCTCGTAAGACGCGCGACTTCTTTTTTGGCTCATCTAGTTTGCGCGTTACACAATTAACATAAGACTCATTTTACTATGTACAATTTTGTTACAAAAATTCCCTTCTATTCCGTTCTACAGCAGTGTAAATTGAGCCTTATACGACACCCATACCTAGGATGTTCAGGGGTAGTGGATATTCTTAAACCGCCACTACATGGTTAATCATGGCCTAATTCATAATATCGAACAACGTAAATTTTTAATCTTTATCTTTATCCCACAAAACAATTTGATATTTTTTTCATATTTCGGTAGCATCGTGGACTGGATCACTTCTGCATAACAAGGTTCAATAAACCCACATAGAAGTACAGTTGATTGTTTTATCGCGCAGTTTTTAAGATTATTTAACGCACTTAGGTGTTAGGATAGTAAAGAAGTAAATGGTAATGTAACTTCCTGGTTGAGGATAAGTTTTATCAAAGATTTAATATGACTAATAGATTACTTAACTAATAGTTTAGTTTACTTTTTTATTTGCTTAAATACACAATAATATTTTAAAATTAAAATTTAAAAGAAACTTACATGTTTCTCTTAACATTTAATGTATTTGTTATCTGTTTTATTTTTGCTAAGACTAAGACTCCACTGCAGTTATATTATTATGCCGTGTACACTTTTTTGGATTCTAGTTTAGATCAACACAAATATACTTTTAATTTTAGATCTTTATATAACTACTGTCTGTTTGTGTACCTTATTCAATGAAATAAAATAAAATAATAGCTTCAATTAAATTAGTATGTTGTTTGGCTAAAATCTATTAAGACTTGTAGATCGTTGATAACTCATATTTTTCTAATACGTATTACCGAATTAGTTTTTTAATTCAAGGATTTGTTTTTGTTTTATTAAAACTTGTGAACAGAAAAATTCAAATTTTAATAAAAAGTAATAAACAAAACGAACTAAAAGCATAAAATAATTTTCAAGTTATAGTTTCTAAAGTTTAGTTTACGTCATAAATTCATGCTGCAGCTATATTAGTGGTATAGTTGTAGTACGAAGGAAAATGAGTGTCGCATCCATTTACGGCTTAAAGATCTCTCGTCAGATCGTTAAGCCAATCCCAAAAGGTGGTGTATAGATGGTTAAAAGTCTCCACATAACCACGCAGCCGGCTGCGTGGTATATGCTATGAGCATTCAGCACCTTCCTCCCCAGTTACCGGAGTGTTGCCCTTACCTGCTTCGGGCGCAAAAAAAGTACGAATGAAGTGGCTCACATCAGGAAGGACGTCGCCCTCACAGAATAACAGCGCAAAATAGCAGCTACTGTGTTTTAAATGATAAGTGTAGAGAGCTGAATACACTTTTTACTAGAAACGAGACATTCCATCTCAATCCTCACGGGTGACAACGCTTCTGCATTTTGAATATGTAGAATCTATGGGCCACAGCAATCACTTACCAAAAGCTGCACTCGTTTGTAACCAGTGACCTATTAAAAAAAAGTCGAGCCTTCTGAAGAGGGGACTTCCGAAGTCGGCAGCTGTATAGTGGAAATTATTTTATTATTTAAAGTTCTTTGATGTCTGTTATTATTAATCTTTTTACTACTTATTATTAATAGTTTAATTCTGTGACCATTTTGAGTGGACTTATCACATGACTAGCTCCGCGACCTACAGCTTGTCGGGCGCTACATAGATGTCATACTAACGGTATATAACACATCACTAACAAAAACACCACATGTATTTAAAAGGGCATCTCAACTCACCCCGTAGCGTCGCCGCCACACAACTCTCTTAGCAGTTTGGTGACTTCGCACCCCGCCGCGTCGGACTCTGTCTGTCAGGAACAAACAACATTCATCAATTACTGGACTCGCACGTATAAATAAAATTAAGCTTGCAAAAAATACAATAAATTGAGAAGTCCCAGTCCGATTCTAAAGCAAATGCTTTCAGTAATTAAATAACTAAGGAAATTATTATTTTTCTTGAAGTCTAAGCTTTCTTTAGACTAAGCAATATTACAAGGTAACAACTATAATGTCGTCTAAATAGTTGTGGATTTTATTTAATTTAAATGAGACCATGAATTCTAATCAATCCAATGTTGTTAACGACAGCCAGTTGCAAATTACGTCACATTGCACGAGAATATTCCCGAAGATAAGTAATAAAATGTATAGGTTTAAAAATAGACGAATCTCCGACTGTTCATGCAAACAAGAAGTAACCTTATTTCTACGTGTATAAAACCATTTCTACCTTGAATATTGTTATCGTTATGTTGTCGCGAGTATTCTAGTACTTTCCGGTCGAAAGAGAGGAAGGACCCGGATTGGCCTAGAAAGTTCTATATTTCTTGTATTGTAAAAGCGTGCCTGTAATCGAAAAGTTAGTTATATCTGGAACGCGAAAGTAAAGTCTACTCCGAAAAGCGAAAACGAGAATTCGACTACGATATCTGCGATTATTTAGGACTTCTTCGAAGAAGCTTAGCGATTTTGGACGACGTAATTATAACATGCTGTGTGTGCGGAAAAAATACATAATTTTTCATCGTAATCGGCATTTTTACTCCCCCCCGCAGGTTCTGAAATCGAAACTTTATAACATTTTTTAAAACGTCCATTGTTGTTTAGTAGTATATGTAGTATATGTTGATCATGCCGAGAGATTAATAGCACATGTGTCTAAAACCTTATCAATACAGCTAGTTTAAAATATAATCACATCTGTGACTGTGACACATAAAAATATAATCAAGCTTTCGAGAAGCTTTTTTTTCGAGATTTCGACTCTGACAGCCAGTTCCAAATTATATTCTAACATCTTGCAGGTCGAATTTCAGTCACGGTGGCCCATCTCAACGAACATTAGCCATCTGAGAAGGACGGAAATATAGTGTACGAGTGTGTCTCTCTCCCGATGGGACGGCAGTACGACACGATCGAAGAGAAATCAGGCGCAAGAAGAATGGTTGCTGTCAGTGATTTTAGAGGCACGGGGTAAAATACTGTGAGCTTCCTAGCTCCGAGAAGCTACTGAGATTTTCTTAAGGCTTCCGTCTAGCCTTGCTGTTTTAGATTCCCAGCCATTAGAGCGGGCGCTCTCCCCCGTGCACAAATACGTTCGAGATCATCAATCATTTTAAGAGACAAATTTGCAACGGTTTTGAAGCCTATTTTAAAGGCCTAGGCCATTTTAACTCACTTTAGGCTTTAAGTAGGTTTATATTGCGCTATTATTAATAACCTTTAATTATTCCGGCTTTATAATACAGATAACTAAGCCATCGTCAGATTTTAAATTATTCCGAACTCAAAAATATTTTAGCAAATTTTGGTAAATATCGATTAAATTAACATAAACATAAACACTCACGCCTATCACCCAGAGGGGTAGGCAGAGACTACAGACTTCTATTTGGCACGATCCTGACACAACTCTCTCGCCTCCTTCACATCCATATACCTACGCATACATGCTCGTCGGTTAAGGGTACTCATAATTCGGCCCGTTTTCAATAAATCGCACATTTATTAAAAAGTTGGGATATAAATAAATAAATGAATAAAAAAATAGTCATGTGGAAAGATTGAATGAGGAAAGAGTGACAAAAAAAATTATGTTGCAGAAGTTAATGGCAGAGTCGGAAAGGGACGTCCTAGGCGAAAATTTATCGACCAAATTGGCGATTAAATTAAATAAATTTATACATTTACAATATTCCTTTTATACGAAATAACCATAACTGAATAATAAGAAAAACATAACATGTTGTTTTAATTACCATCCACCTGTAATAAAATAAGTAAAGATAAGTTAGCTGTTCATGGGCGGGTGCCATTACTCTAGGATATTGTAAAAATATATTATATTACTGGAGGCAAAAAATGCATTGATAAAAGTCGATGTAGGATTCGTGCCTAAGATTCACGACAAAATACTCAGTTACTGTAACCACCAAGCTTAAGGTCTTCAAACCAAGTAACAGCATCCAGTCCTTAACATTCACTGACATAAAGAACCTACGTGCTCCTAAACATCGCGGGCGGGCCGGGTCACCGCGAACTTTAACTCTTGTTCTACATTAAAACCAGTTAAGGACATTTGTTAAAAATGTCCATTACATATATATAAATAAAAAATTTCATAAAAAATATTTTTACAACGACGTTCTCCACAGTAATACAAATATGCTTGCATTAAATGGTTAAAACAAGTATTTTTTTAATAAAATGAGCGTGATGAGGGGTGACAACGCATCTGCATTTTGATTCTCAATTGAAGATAAATGTAGTCTATGGGCCACAGCATCCACTTACCATCAGGTGGACTGTTTGCTTGTTTGTCATCCTTATTCTATAAACAAAAACGTGACAAGCGAGCACACATCCCACCTGGTGGTAAGTGGATGCTGTGGCCCATAGACATCAACATCCATCCTCGATTGAGAATCAAACTGAAGATTTTTTTTTGCGCCCGAAGCAAATATGGGCAACCCTCCGGAAAGCGGGTGAGGGAGGTGGTGAATGCTCATAGCATACCACGCAGCCGGCTGCGTGGTTATGTGGAGACTTTTACCCACTAAACACCGCCTTTTAGGAATTGGCTTAACGTTCTGACTAGAGATCTCTAAGCCGTATACGAACGCGACCCTCCTTGGCAGAAAGGAGGGCGCAAACTGAAGATGCGTTGTCACCCGTGAGGACACTTGTGAAATGGCTCGTTTCCTGTAAAATAGGTCCCCGGCTCTCTACACTCATCATACGAAAGACAGCAGGATTGAGCTGTTATTTTACGCTGCCATTCTGTGAGTATGGCCCTTCCCCGGTTGAGCCGAACCATTCAAGCAAAACTTTAGTTATTAAAACAAATAACATATAATCCGAATGAAATGATCTTACTAATATAAAAGTCTAACTAATATTTTATTTTTAATACAAATTCTATACTTTATAGGTTTTAGTTCGAATATGTTCCACGGTAATTCCTTATTGATTCAGACTCTAGTTAAACTTACTGACATATAACTATCTGAGACAAGATAATTAATTACTTGATACTTTTTGTAATAAAGTGGCTCATGTATATAACTATGACGTCGTACAATTTATATTACCAGCTCAAGTATAACAAATCGATTAAGATATGTAAATTACTTTATAAATAAAATAGTTATAAAAAATATAATTAGCTTATAAATTACGCCCTATTATAACAGATATAAGAGTCGTGGTAGCTCAGATGGTTAGCGCTCGCTGTAAATTTCATAATACGCGATTACCCGGGTTCAACCCTGCTGGTACCAATGAAATAGTTGATTGCAATTTTAAGTGCTGATTTATCACGTGCTCAGTGGTGAAGCAAAGCATTGTGAAGAAACTTGCATGTCTGATAAATAAGATAAAAAGATATTTCAAAGACATGTGAAGTTCGCCAACACGCATCGGGGCAGCGCGCCGGACATTGCCTTGCCGTAAAAACTCCCTCAGAAATGAAAATAAGCTTGTATATAGGTATATGGGCTGTAACTTTAATATTTTTTATATAGACATAATAATAATAATAACCAGAAATGAAAATAAGCTTGTGCCCAGCAGTGAGTCGTATATAGGCTGTAACTTTAATATTTTTTATACAGACATAATAACAATTATAATCAGAAATGAAAATAAGCTTGTGCCCAGCAGTGAGTCGTATATAGGCTGTAACTTTAATATTTTTTATACAGACATAATAACAATTATAATCAGAAATGAAAATAAGCTTGTGCCCAGCAGTGAGTCGTATATAGGCTGTAACTTTAATATTTTTTATACAGACATAATAACAATTATAATCAGAAATGAAAATAAGCTTGTGCCCAGCAGTGAGTCGTATATAGGCTGTAACTTTAATATTTTTTATACAGACATAATAACAATTATAATCAGAAATGAAAATAAGCTTGTGCCCAGCAGTGAGTCGTATATAGGCTGTAACTTTAATATTTTTATACAGACATAATAACAATTATAATCAGAAATGAAAATAAGCTTGTGCCCAGCAGTGAGTCGTATATAGGCTGTAACTTTAATATTTTTATATAGACATAATAATAATAATAATAATGTCCTCCAGACCGAATTTCGGCCACGGCTGCCTGCCTCAACGGAGACTAGCCATCGACGCATGACAGGATTATAATGGCCAAGTGTATGCGCAAGCACAGGTGCACTCTCTATTCTCTCACTCTCATAATCCGACGGGACGGTAAACCTACACGACCGGAGACAGATCAGGCTCAGGACCAACGGCTTTACGTGCTTTTCGGGGCACGGGGGTGAGATACCGCCAACCTCCTGATTCCGGGAAGCTACTGAGAATTTCTCGACGGAAAAACTCAACAATTGATTTTTTTGGCCCGACCCGGGAATCACGATAAGCATTCGCACTACTACAACCACTAGACCAACGAGACAGTAGGCAGAGTATTTGTATGTAATGAAGTTATAGACAACCATTTTAAAAACTTTTGTCTGTCTGTCTATGATAATTTCCGAAGTGATCTGATCTAGGCTATATTTTATCCAAAAACTTGGACATTTAAAAAAAAACGATTTTTTTAAAAATAAATTTCTAATTATATTACAGGCAAAACCGGAGCGAGTCGCTATTTAATTATAATGCTTGTGACAACTTATGATAAAAAAAATTTCAAGGGCTATTTCGATCCATATTTTCTGTGATTTCTTGTAAAACTTATTTGTAAGCCCTTACAGTGTTTTGATAAGGGACAGCAGCCAGTTTCATCCAATCCGTGCAGTTCCTGGTATACGCAACGATTACGTCACCCATGATAAGGCGCCTATATTTTCGCGACTATACACTAGTGACGTAACGATATATCGACAACAATAAAACTATTATATAGTAATATTATAAAAGTTTTTAAAACGTATGTAAATTAAACTTATATTATTACTACTTAGTATTTTTACATTAATGGCCACACTCATAAAAATTGACGTCAATTTAAGAGGATGCACATTAAAATCTTTTAAAACAAGGCATTGAATGACACAATACATATTTAATAACACTGGCAACCCTTTAACGTAAATGTCAAAATTTATTATAAAACTAAAGTGATAAGCGAACTTACAGCCCACCTGATGGTAAGTGGCTGCTGCAGTCCACGTACAGTTAAAGCCAACTTCATACAAAGACAGCTAGAGATGCTTTGTCACCATTAACGACTAAGACTGTTTGATGTAACTTTTTTAATAGAATAAGGGTGACAAACGAGCACACAGTCCACCTGATGGTAAGTGGAGGCTGTGGCCCATAGACATTATTAACTTAAATTTAACCTCGATTAAGAATCACAATACAGATGCGTTGTCACCCCTGATAACTAAGATGGAATGCCTCGATTCCAGTTAAATGGGTCTCCAGATCTCTATACTCACCAAACGAAACATAGCAGTATTAAGGTGCTATTTTACCGCTGGTATTCTGTGTGTTGTCCGACCCAATTAGTTCTACAATCATAATATAGCTGCATCATGGATCTACCGTGTATAAAACACTTATAGCCCATTTCATTCTCAACTTCCAAAGGAGTCCTACTTACAGCATTAACAAATCTACTGCTGAAAAAACCCCCCCCCCCACGAGAAATTCCATAAATTACAATCCTAAGCCACCTGCATACCCCAACCTCCAGTAAGTGATCTCATGTCTCACATCATCTTTATTCAGGGGGCCGCCCTACACACTGTTTACTGAGGCTACCATTTGAGAACATTTCTTCCTCGTCAACAGTAAGTACATCGAGATTTTTTTTTTATTGACGTTAAGTAATAATCGCATAAATATAAGAGTAATAATTACATCGGGATGATTGTTATACTGCTTCTTACTTTTACGCATTACTGTTCCATTGTCTCTTGCCTAAAAAAATTGTAGGGTCAGAATGGGCCAGAGAAACATCAGTATTCCAACTTTATCAACAGATATAGGTACCTACCCCAAACCAAAAAAAAACCTAACAAATAATACTAAATGAAAGCAACTCTTAAGTTTAATTTACCATTGATTCTAAAAATACTTCTCTCCTGGGAAGAACCCAACGGAACATTTTTAAAAAAAAAGGAAGTTTACAATCATTGTAACCCTAATGATTACAAGAATTAAAAACAGAAACGAAATTAGAAATAGCATGGTAGCGATAATCTCATTCCCATCGTCCATAATAATATTCCCAATCGCCGAGGCAAACGATACACTTGCCGTTACGAGATTTTCAATCTAGGATTCTTCCCCGCCTAATGATAGTCGGCTATTCTATCTATATTTTTTATAGTATAAGGGTGATAAGCCAGCCCACAGTCCACCTGAAGGTAAGTGGTTACTCTAGCCCATAGGCGTCTACATCTATGCTCTATTACGAATTAAAATGCAAATGCGTTGTCACTCGTGAGGACTCTCTCTCTTTCTCAAAAGGAACTCTACACTCACCATACGAAACACAGCAGCAATTAGTTGCTATTTTACGCTGATATTCTGAGAGAGCGTGATCTTTCCCGGGTTGAGCTGACCCATTCGTGCTCTAACTATACTACTAATATAGCTGCAGCATGACTATACCACGTAAACGTGGCTAGTTCATTGCCACTTGAGTTAATTGATCCGTTAAACCATGTCAGTAACCCATGTTCCGATGCAGATGTACTTATTGTGAATTTTATCACGCAGACAATTCTTAGGTAGCCATTTCCATTTCTCACAGTGTCTGAGCTTCCTCATACGAACCACGATAAAAGAGTAAATATCAGTTATATTTTTTATTTATTTTAATCCAGCACTTGACTACAACTCCATCTGGTAATGAAGAACTAAATAGTAAACCGCACTGTCTTAGTGTTACAAAAGCAAAAGCCTATTCACTCTTGCCTTGAAGACAAACGCACAGATTGTAATCTGACGGAAAGACAGACGCCGCAGACGACGCAGATTATTCCACTCTGTTAGTCATCACCCGCCGACACTCACTGGCTTCGAAACTATCCGAAAGATATATAACAAACAGGAAAACAACAGCGGTGAAAAAATTACTAATTGATACATAAATGGATATAATTAAAGGACACATCGATAACCAGTCAGTCGTAATAACAACTGTAGTATAGCACTACACGCTTTTAGCGGACGCTCTCAGTTCCCGACGCGATTCGACGGCGAACACGCGCGAGTTACCTCTCTAGCGGCCCGACACGACACCGAAACAATGGTGAGTGTTTTGAAGTTCACTTGCACGTTTACAATGATGTATACAAAATATAAAATTTAATGAACGCAATTTCGAACATGGATCTTAAAACAAAACAATACAGATGACATTTTTATAGCGTCTCACAAAATGTTCAAGGAAAACGTCGGAAAATCAACGTTAGAACTAACTGTTTACTTTCATTCATAGTTTGCCTCAGTAGGGGGACATTTGCCACAATTGCCACACTTTCGGTAAGTCAGCAAGCGCAGATTTTTATTGCAATTACTGACTATATTGTGCATGTACATTTCATACATTTACACCGGCGTAGCGTGTTCCAAACATCGACCACTTTGAAATGTCTTCGTGTATTCTTTTTTAGTCTTTTATTATAATAATTGTTAGAAAGCCAAAAGTTCCAACTCTCCAAGTTCAAAAGAGTTAAGCGGCAATACTATTGTAATATTACCTGATGGCAAGTGGATGCTGTGGTCCATTGACATTTAATAAACATTTATCCTCAATTAAGAATTAAAATGCAGATGCGTTGTCACCTCTAAGAACAAACATGGAACCGCTCGTTTCCAGTAAAAAAGCTGCTGAAAGAAGCTAGAAGCTGCTAGAGGAGCTGCATTAGGCTGGTATTCTGTGAGCACGTGCTTCAAACCCGGTCAAACTGAACCATTCGTACTGCAACTAAAATAAAGCTGCAGCGTGGCTCTACCACTCATAAATTAAAATATATAATACCTATAACAAATTACAATTAAATAATAACTTGTACTCCAAAACGTATCTCATTACAAACTGGCGACCATCCCAAGTTCCGTCTGGGACTAAGATCTATTATTGAACTTTATTTATAAGTATTAAGTTAAAAATCATATATAAAGTTAAATTTACAGTTATATACGTCCTACTGCTGGGCACAGGCCTCCCCTCATTTCTGAGAGGGTTTTAAGGCAAGGAATTGTCCGCCGCGCTGGCCCAAGCCGTATTGGCGAACTTCACATGTCTTCGAAATATTGTTTTCTTATCTCTCAGACAGGCAGGTTTCCTCAAAATGTTTTCCTTTACCGCCGAGCACAGGGTAAATCAGCAATTACAATTGCAATTAAAAATTTCATTGGTGCCGGCGGAGATCGAACCCGGGTTGCTTGCAGACTGTGAAACTTACAGCAAACGCTAACCACCTGAGCTAACACGGCTCAAATGATCACATATATTCATAATAAATTATAAAAAATCATATAACTAAAATTCAGGTACACAAAAAATTTACATGCGAATGCGATTCAGATGCCTTTTAAATTTGCGCCGTTTTAAAACTTTTTTAAATTTTTATGTTTATCATAGTACATTTTGCAAACAACAAACATTTTCGATTGCCCCAAAAGAAATGGATGTAGAACGCAGCAAGGACCAAAAAGGTTATCTTGAAATCGCTCTGCCGTTTAAGTTAAGCTGCTATTCGCTATGACCAAAAAACTGCCGAATTCCTGCTTCGTTAGGCAGTAGACCGCATTTTTAAATTAATATTCGAGTGAGAATTGTATAGCGCTTTTTATTTTAGCAATATATTAATCACTGTTAAAAGATTTTTTTTTATTAAACGTAAAAACCAACTTCGAAAACTAAAAAGAGTAAAATAATTTCCACATAGCTTCTGAAGTTAAGACTTTCATTCTTCGAAACACTATGCACCTATTTTTAACTTTTTATCGATAGTTTATTTATTTGCTGATTTGAATGGTCACAAGTTCAAGTTCAAGGACTAGGATGTTCTCTAATGTTAATGGGGATAGATAGTGATATTAGAGCGAAAAAGTATCGTGGTCACGAGTGAGGTGCGTCGATATGCTCCTCCGTAATTTAATGGCACAATATTTATTTGATTTTTTTTTAAAAGGAAATATAATCGTTTATGAAAAATAAACCCATAATTCTCCCATGTATTTACTGGTTCACACAGACAAAATTTAATTGAAATTGCTTAAATTATATTCAAATGAAACTGCTTTTGCCCTTAGTGGACACGTACCTACCTAAAACTGTAGATTTTGAGGAAACTTTGCTATCTTTTTGTATCGAGCCAAATGTGTCAATCGTGTTTTTGGCCATTAAAATTCAATATGAAATATCTTTAACTTTCATAACGATTAAAGATAGGTGAATTCGTAGTTTTTAATGACAAACAAATGATACTTATAAAACATATAAAAGAATTTTATGAAAAATTTTTTGGGGTCAACGAAGAAGGTTACCCTAGGCCTATTAAAAAAAGAATCATTAAAATGTGTTAAGCAGTTTCCGAGAAACCTGTGGACATATATAAGATCGAATATATATAATACGCATCGAATATACGAGTAGAAATTTCTCGTTTTTTTAACTGTATTGAAAACTATATCGTCATATCACTAGGAATTCGACACTTTATTAATTAATAAAATCAGGCGTTACTTTGCGGAAATCCATTAAAAGAAGTTAAAAATTAATAAGCTTAAGATCCACGTATTTAAATAATGTCTCTTACCTAGTCTGTAGAGCACCTCTCGCCCTCTTAAATTGTCAACACCATTACACTAGAAAAGACACTACCTTCGATAATATGACAGATGTTTCTAGACATCCTCCGGTGAAATAGACTCTGCGGTGGCTGACCGCTAAGTTACTTTATGTTTACATAAAAGCAAAACTAAAATGACAGCCTACGAGACATGACGTAGGACATTTTTTTATTTTTTATTTTTTTTATAGAAGAAGAGGCAAACGAGCATGTGGCTCACCTGATGTTAAGTGACTACCGCCGCCCATGATCAACCGCAACACCAGGGGAATTGCGGGTGCGTTGCCGGCCCTTTAGAAAGGAGTAAGCTCTTTTCTTGAAGGTCCCCAGGTCGTATCGGTCCGGAAAAATCGCCGGTGGTAAACTATTCCACAGAGAGGTTGTACGTGGAAAAAAAACTCCTTGTGAAACGTACAGTGGTGGACCGCCAAGCATCCAGATGGTGTGGATGGTATCGGGACGTTTGACGTGTAGTGCGTTCACGAAATTTGGCGGCTGGGATTAATCCGAACAATTTTATAGGATAGGGTGACAAACGAGCACACAATTCACCTGATGGTAAGTACTTGCTGTGGCCCATAGACATCTACATCTATCCTCGATTAAGAATTAAAATGCAGATGCGTTGTCACCCGTGTGGACTAAGATGGAATGCCTCGTTTCCATTAAAAAAGGGTCTCCGGTTCTTTACACTCACCATACGAAATACAGCAGCGTGTGAGAGCGCGGTCCTTCCCCGGTCGAGCCGACACATTCGTGCTACAACTATAGTACTAATATAACTGCAGCATGGCTCTACCACGTATCGACTGCTGTGCTTCTTAATTCTGAATTTCAAAATTATTGAGGTAAATCAAACCGACCTAAAGACAGGCGTTTCACATAAGTTTTTCAAAAGAGCTTATTCCTTTCTAAATGGCCAGCAACGCACCTGCAATTCCTCTGGTGTTGCAGATGTTCATGGACCGCGGTAGTCGCTTACTATCAGGTGAGCCCGATGCACGTTTGCCCCTCTTATAACAAAAAATCGCCAACCTTTAAAGCGTTACAAAGGATTATATGTTTCTCCGCCATTATCAAATGGCTTCTTCAAGTTGCACAGATAAATAACACTCGTCACAGTTACCTTGACCGAAAGGGCTAATACTCTCATTAAAACCGAATTAGGATTATTTCATATTAACCTCAATAGTTTGTGACACACACGCGCACTTGGCTATGATGAAATCTTAAAGAAACCTTCACCTCAACGCATCTGCATTTCGATTCTTAATCGAGAATAAATAAATGTAGGTGTCTATGGCACAGCATCCACTTCAGGTGGACTGTGTGCTCGTTTGTCACTTTTATTCTATTTAAAAAAAGCGAAAAGAATCTAAGACCCCTTTTTAAAAGGTCGGCACCTGTAATTTTTCAGGTGCTGCAGTTGCACATGGGAGTTATCACTTACCATCTGGTGAGCTAGTTTATCCCACTTACACTTACACACTACACACAACACACAACTTACACACTTACACTCTACTCTATCGTCGCTTATAGATTCTTATACCAGCGTAAAATAGCTGTTCAATACTGTTGTGTATCGAATGGTGAGTGTAGAGATCATGATACCCTTTTTTACTGGAAACGAGGCATTCCATATTAGTCTTTAGGGGTTATAACGCATCTACGTTTTGATTCAGATGAACTCGTTTGTCAGCCTTATTCAATAAAAAAAAAATCACCACGGCGTGATTGCATAAGACGTATTCAGTCTATAGTTATATCTGTGGTTCGAGTAGTCCTCGTTTATTCAACAATTGGATGCATCGCTCTGACAGCTGAGGGTCCGGGCACTTGTCATACATTTAATAACTTACAAACATCCTGCGGCAGATTCCTGGTGCCGTCTTAACTAGATTGTAAATTGCAATCAACGACAACTGTAGCGTACATTGTGTATGCTATTATAGTAGCATACACGTGCGCAGTAAACGGGAAACGTCATTGAAAACTTCCTATACATGATATAACCAATTTTGTGAATTCACCTTCGTTTTTCCTCTCTCTCTCTCTCTCTCTCTCTCTCTCTCTCTCTCTCTCTCTCCCTTGTACTATAGAGGGATTGAAAACAGGATCTAAATTTTGGTACGTTTACTTATTTAGGTTCAAAAAGATTCCACTGTTAGGTACAGTTCCGATTCTAGTTCTGGTTCCAGTTAAGGTGTTGGTTTTAAGATGAACTCTGCGATGGCTAACCTGCTAAAAATGAGCTTTATTTTTGGAAGTTGAGTATTAAGATTAAGGCCCTCCATTTTATCTTTTACGCAGTTTATTATATTATAATTTAGCACTACTATAAGTTCGTTCGTCGATTTAATTTAAAAAAAAAAAAAACTAAATCAACCATAATGCAGTCACCGTTCTATTTTAGTTTCTTCCACAAGGAAAACAGAAACAGTACAAC